ATCTTCCTACACAAGAATGACAAAGTATTTTAAATCAATGCCAGTTGATGAAAAGTTAAATGGTATCATGTACGACGATGGTAGCTTCGAATTTTTGCTATCAAGGAACAGAGTCAGTTCTTGAAAAAAGCTGTTCGAAAGTTCTAATAATCCGACGTAATTCGATGGTAGCCGAGCTGGAAGAGCTTTTACGTGATTCATCATGTTCTCACTAACATGTCATTCTTTTTCTCTCTTTTTTCTTCTTTTCTTTCTCTCTTTCTTTTTCTCTTTAAACGCAGATAGTTATGTTCTAACTTATAGCTGTCGCTGTCATTGTATCCACATATATATATATATTATAACTCTTGAATAAATCTCCTTTAGTTGTATGCACATCTATGTTATATATTCGTAAATTGTCACTTAAATATTATTGTAATAAATCTAAAAATCTAAAAATTTTTAATGGTTGCACTGATCATAGCTTTTTATATAAAAAAAAACTTGCAAAATAGAACTTTTTATCGATTTTATTTTTTATTTGTTTTTTTTATCGAAAATATTTAAAAGTATATTGTAGGAATTATATATATTTCAGAAGTCTTCTCTCGAAAGAAACAAGTATTCGTATAAAAAATAAATTTATTGCTAAACGCGTTTCTTCCTTTGTTAAATTCCGCAGAATTGCAATTATCATAACGTTTAAGTTAATCCAAGAGATTATGCATTTGCCATTTCATTGATATTCTCGTTCGTTGTGAATTTCATATGTATTATCTGTATGCTGCACATGGATCGAATTGATGATTTGTTCCAGCTAATCAAATTTGTAAAAAAAATATAATAAATTTTTATATAACAATGACAGAACTTTTTTTGCAATAATTTATTAATTGATAGGTATTATTTACATGAATTTTGTATCAAATAAACTATCTATGTTTAATAAAAATACGAAAAAATTTAAACGTCACTTATCATATTTACTGTTATGATTTCTATTAAGATTTATTTAAGTTCTTATACTATATAATTGAACAACATTAATCCGCTTACTAGATGTGGATGTTTATTTTTAATTAACGTGTCCTGCTTTCGATTTGTTGATTTTCTATACCGAGAGATTTAGGGTTATAGAAAGTTCCGAAATATGAAGATTAAGGAAAAGTCCACTAATATTATCATCAAATTATATGAAAATAATATGCAAACATTCATTGTTTGAACAAAAATTTAAGTCTTATGATATTTTTTATAGAATTACATAAGCGAAATGCGAATTTTCTTTAAATCATAGTTATTTATTGCAACGCCTGCAGACAGATATTCCGCTATACCAATGAATCGTCTCGACTCTTATATTAAGTGTGCAGGTAGACGTAAGATTTTATTCGGTGCATTTCAACATTATAAAGAAAATAAAATAGGAGATTAAAACTTTGATTCTTTTAAGTTTGAATTTAATATTTATATTTTAAATATAGATTTACGTTTATTCATATAATATGTAAATGTCTTTATATATATTTCGTTTCACATTTTATATAATAATGTTTATTTTTAATATATATTTTTAATATATATTTTTCTTTTATATTTTTCATTGTATTTTAATTTTTATTTATTTATTTTACTGCTTTTAATTCTAATTGTTTTATTCTAATAATTGATATCGATGATAGAGCACGCGCAACATTTATGTGATAAATCACTCATAAATTTTTCTTTCCTCTTTTCTTTTACTATAATTTTTTTGTCAGCGATTCACGTTATTCGCAAGTTGGCAGTGATCCTGGAACATATGTCCGGCAAATCTAGACTCATGTTATCGAAGTACGTGATTCGATGTTAGGATAGAACTCTAGACGATAAAATTCAAGTTATAAAATGCCGTCTGTATTAAATCAAGAACTCACTTCCCTTCTTCAAACCTCATCACGTATTAATCTTCCCTTCTATTTGTTGCACAAATTGTTTCTATCTTTTCATTACTAGTTTTGCACAGATAGGAATATTCAAAGGAATTCCTATCGTTTTATTTTATTTCAACTTGGGTGAAGTTCCGCGCAATTGTTGAATTTACAAATAATTGACTTACAGATATAGATGGATTTGCAAATTCAGAATTTTGTTAAAGTTCCATCAAAATAAAATCTGTTTGTGATTAATACAAAGGACAAGAATATTTCATTATCTACATTATCGGAAATTAAGTCGTAAAAATCCATATCCTTGACAGTTTTTAATTACAAACTAATATTTATAAAAAATATATTAATAATATATTAATAATTAATTTTAAGAATCTGGCATATGTATTATATATATAATATCAATCAAAAGACAATTTATTTGATAAATCATATATATAAAATAAAAAAATATAAAAATATAAAATATAAAAAATATAAAAAAATATAAAAATATAAAATTTAAAAATATATATAAAATATTAATATAAAAGAAATGAAAAGTATCGAAAACATTTATGTTGTTTCAAAACATAAAAATTTACAATGGAATCCCCTTCTATTAGTGAGATTCATTCCCTCATTTTTCCTGTTTTCTTTCGCGAGGTACCCAGCCATAAATTTCGATTGGAGAACTCACGGTGCACTTCGTGGTTCTCGTATTAAAGAGGACCACAACGTGCACGCGTGCTTGCACCCTCCACTCGTAAATCCCAATCAGAACTCGCAATTTATGGAGTGGGTTACCATCGCACGTCTCGCAATTCGTTGTCCAAATGTACGCAAATCCGATCATCCCCCGGCGACGAACAACCGTACGCGATTTGCTCTTTGATTTGACCGCTTCCGCGTTTTCTGCGTCTTTTTTCCTAGCTGCCGCCGGCGACGATAACTCTAAACGAACGATACTTTTATAGGCAACAAATTACATTTCGAATCACCGCAATTCCTCGAACGGAATCTAACGGAACAAAATTAACGACGCACCAACGTGATCTCCGATTCTCGAAAATTACATTTTCTCTCTCTCGTGGCTTATGTTGACTTTCAAATAAAATTATGAAGAAAAATATCTCGTTTAACACGTTCTCAAAATACATCATGCGAAAAGATATAATTTTTTTCTAGATTAATTTTCCAAAATGTTTAATCGATTATTTTTTCAGAACGTTTAGCCGACTTAAAAGAAAATGTTGCTGAACATGTGCTGAATTTTTTTTTTTCGCATAATGCCCGATCGGCTTTTAAAACTTTCGATTCCAGTCCTAGCGTTTGTAACGGAGCTCGGACAGGAAAAATCGTTGTTAAATTTCAATAAATGGAGTTGTCGCCGATGGGCTCGCGGAAGAGGTTCCTGCCTGAAGTGGCGGGAAACGAGGTTTTCATTGAGCCCGACTGAACTGAAATACAGATTACGCGTCAACGTATTCAGGAGCTGTAAAAGAGAGCGGTGACTCTTAATGGAATCGGAAAACGATTTGTAATGGGAAGTAAAATCGTCGCTTAAGGCGCGTCAGCATCGAGTTGGCGAGCTCGATTCGGTGAAAAAATTGTCGGCTGTAGATATGTTCACCCGAGTGAACTGCGACAATGATCGATGAATTTCAAGATGCAACTCAAGATGCAATCTTATCTTACTTGCCTTAAAGTATCTTTGATTGAAAGAACATCCTGTATGTTTATCACAATTTCATTTTTAGAATTTTGATAGTTTTCTCACGTATTGGAAACATCGAATGATGGACTGGGAATTTAAATATTCAACAAATGTTCAAAATATTTCTATAAAATATTCTTATTAGCTAATTTCATAATTTTTGACACATGTTACATTTTCCGACACATTGCTTCTATAATTAATTATTCGCGATAATATTTAAACTTTTTTCCTTGATATTCTCAGCGATAATTAATGTCACTTAAGCGCGATGCATAGAGAAAATATATCATTGTCGATTGTCATGCGAGAAGAGACTACTCACCAGCTTCATCATTTTCGACGATGAGGATCTGCCAGATAATTGGCGGGCTACCATTTATCATAATAAAGCTGCTATGTATGAGAATTACATCAAATAATTGCGTATAATCAAATATGCAATCTTTTCACAAAAAATTTTGAAGATTAATAAATTAAATTGGAATGTACAAAATATGCTAAGCAAAAAACACATGATTTTAATGATACTTTAGAAATAACACTTTTTTCTCTACATCTTCCATTCTTCAATTAAAAGATTTTTTTATGGAATGTCGAGCAAAGATACAAGTTCTAATCATGTTATTTACACAATAGAATGGAAATTGATACAAGAGGAAATTATCGTTTTTTCCAAAAAAATATAAAATTTTATATATACGCGATAAGGGATTACCTCATTCGGGAGGCAAGAGGGAAATATTTTTAAAGGCAACCAGGCGAGCTAAAACAATATCTAGCAGGCTGGTATTTTTGCGCTAGAAAAGGACATCATTTTTCTCATGCTTTTCATATATCTACTATCTCTCTACCCTTTTCGCATCAAAGCGAGATAAAAGAGAAAACGAGTGTGAAAAGCGGCGCAAATAATGTGTCCGTAGCATAAATTTTTCTCTGATCTCAAATAATTCTCGTGGAAAAAATTAAAAGTGCTATTTTACATTCTTATGAATTTTATAATAGATTGTAAACAAGACATATATTTTACTAAATAATATTTACTAAATTATTTGTTATTGTAAACGTTGTTATAAATATTTGAATTAATTTATTCTTTTGCATGTGTTACGCTTCTTGTATTCGCGCCGATAAAAAATTTTACAAACAAACAATAATTCTTCTTAAATCTTTTTTATTATTTTTTACTTTTTTTATTATAATATTTTTTCTATTATTATATACTTTGAAAGAATATTTTGCTTTATTCTGGGAAATATTCAAAATAACAGTGTAAAAATATTATCATTCGTGTGCAAATTATATTTGCGTCGCATAAAAGTATCAAAGAGCAAGTACAAATATAATCTTCTAATGAGAATTAACTTTTTTCCATTTTGGAATAATTTCAGAATGCAGGATTCCAGGTGCACAGGATAGAATGAATCGTCGGGAAGACCCGCTGTTACGGCAGCATCGAAATCGTTTGCTGCAATTGGCCGAAGCGACGAATATCAAGCCTGGTCGTGGCAGCGGGAAAAGACGGGGACAAAGACAGTCACATGGATTCGGACCCAGGTCAGTTCATAATTTGCAAATTTATCAAGAATTCGTTTTAATCAATAATTGAAAAAATAATTTAGATATCTTTTTTGCATAAATATTAAAGTAGTAGTAATAGCATTAATAAAATAAATTTTTGTAAAAAAGATTTATCTTTAAGTAAGAAATTGACGGCTATATTTAAGATACTACGCGACAAAGCGATTTTATAAAGGAAAATAATATATCATTTAATAGTTAAAATTGTTTTTGTCGGATATCGAGCAGAATAATTTGTTGAAATTAATTAATTAATAAAAAAATATTGTTTGAAAATCGAATCCTCTATAAATGGGCATTTAATTCCAAGTAATTCAAGTAGTAATTGTACATCGCCATTAACAACCATTTATCAATTGACGAAATTTGGCACTATGTGTAATTTATTGCAGTAATGGCGGACCCAGCCGCGTGACGCTCCAAGATATCGTCAGGAGCGATCCTGGATACACGCCGAACATCGAGCACTTAGTGTTTCCGGAGCGTAAGAGCAGCAATCCGAATTTAGCAGGCGCCACCGATGGCTCGCCGCCAAATAAATCGAAGTCTAATGCGACAAGCTCGGCAAGATCCAGGCTCGCCGAGGTCTTCTCTTCTCGACATTACGTAAGAGGATCTTCGCAGGACTCCTCTGTTACGTCCAGAAAGAATCACGTTAATGTATGTATTCGAAATTTAAAATTGTATAAAATTGTATAATTTTTAATTAATTTATATTATTGATCGGCATTACTACTTATCGTTATTTAATTGTGATGAGAATCATCGAAGTGATATTTTCTTTTGATTTATTAGAAGCAACATATGGATAAAAGCAATAAATTAGATATTTCTAAAGATAGATTTAACCTAGATCTTTTATGAATTAAAACTTCATTACCATATATGCTTGTTGATTGACAATAAATGACGTCTCCAGATAGGATGTATGCCTTTCGTAGCTTCCCAATGCGCGATATTTTTTTTCTGTAACACGACTTTAACACTTGTAATATTAATGTTAATTTTAGCGTGCATTGCGATAATATTCATTTCAGTTTCATATCAACCTTGAAAGAAAGAGGATATTTTGCTTCAAATCACAATATGCTGATTAAACATTCAGTTATGAAAAACATTGGCATGATTGATTCCTCATCATTTCATAATATTTTATCAGCATTTCATAATAATATTTTCACTTTACTTTATATTAGCGCAGTTATAAGAAACGATTGAAATTACCGGTTTTTAAAAAAAAATTATATATTTTTTTAAAGCTAATTTTTTATTATCTGAAGCTTGTTCGATCGATTGTGACATTGTAAATAAGTTGACAGACAGCTGTTCTAAAATCGGACAGCGCATCAATGGGATGTTGGCTCACACGGAGTAATAAAAGTCAATAAAATGACACGCACGTTTGACGGGACTTGCGACTCATCGACAGATCAACCGACGAACGAGTTCTCTTCTTGGTCACAGGACGAGGATAAAAATACTTTCATCGACACACGGAGTTGCGCCAGCTTGCCAGTCGCTCGAACGTGCTTCGACCGTATTTGGAAGTAGAAACAGTCGCGCAGCATTTATACGGCCACACGAGTTTAATCTGTGATCCAATGTAACGATAATGATACCCTAACGCGGGCCCCCCTTTAGCGATTGACACAATTTCATAACGATCACGGCTGGTGATAATGGCAGCCGCTAATGAGTCGCGATTAATAAAGGAATCCAAAAGCGGACGGAAAAAAGAGAAACTTTACTAACGTAACGTGATACGATTACATTTTGATTTCCGTTTCAATAGCTTTTTTTATAAATAATTGAAATCGAAACATTATCGAGATAAAATCGCGGAAATTTAAATTATTTATTATAGTAAATTTTGTATACAGGAAATATAATATACATCTCAGTCTCTTATCTGAATAATTCGTTAGCAAGTTACGTCCCACAGATTTTCTCTCGCGTGCCCACGAAGAATGGCCTTGGATTTTTTTGGTTACAGAGTACGTCGCTGGACAGTGGAAACGTGGTAGGTCATCAGCCCGGGCCTGGCGGACCCACGGTAGTGACGCGAAGCACCGGACGCCGTTGGCTGTCGCAGAACTCGCAGTCCTCGAGACAACATTCGGTCGAGGATGGGATACGTGGGGGTAACGTGGGCGTTGGAGGGCCCGTTTCGACCTCGTCCTCGAGTCAGACCCCCGGTCAAACTGTACCTCCCGCTCTGCCACCACGAAGAGTCAATCCGGCTACAGATACAAGCGAGATCGCCAATCCTATCTCGCGTATCGACAGGTAATGTTGCGTGTTTAATTCGCTTTTCGTTTAGCCTTGCCGCGACCGAAGTGGTCTCATTATGTTCTGTGAGTTTCCTACAAATTTCGCGATTACTGGCTATCGCGTAGTGCCTTTGGCAATTGCTTTCGGAATATTTCGAAGTGCAAGATCAGAAAACTTATAGAAAAATCGAATTTTTTGCGTTTATGTGTATTTGAGAAAATTTCGTTGAATGGTTATTGTCGTCTGGTAAAATCGTGTGTGTTATAGTGTACTGACTCCTTGTGTTGTTGAAAAAAACATTCAGGATAAAATCTGATCTCTCAGGATAAGAGTCCGTGTCGTGTCAGAAACAGAGCGAATATTTTCGCTTCATCATCATTCTGTGTGTTCGAGTTTCCCTTTTCCTCTTAGAGTCTGTCTAGATGCAGCAGTGTTTACATATAATGTAAATTTCATGAGGCCCAACGGACTACCGCGAGGACCATTCTCTTCTCGCGCTTTGTACACTTGGCGGATACTCTTCGTCGAACGTAATCTGTTTACAGGAAGGAGTTTAAAATTCATTGAGCAAATGCCAAATCCAGTAGATTCTCAAGGCCGATTGTTTGTCCATTAATCTGCGAGGATAATTAGAGATCCTTAAAAATGTTTTACATAATAAAGAAATTTAAAAAATTCACGACATAAAAAGTTTATTTCATCTAAAAAATATTTGTCGGTGTTTACTCATACATAAATTTAACGAATTTGCAATCGCATGCAAATGAGTTTTAATGAACGCAAAATATATACTAGATAACACAAGTGAGAGAGAGAAATATAAATCTGCAGCCTGTGGATTGACAGTGACTATTCCATCCCCTGTTTGGACTGACAGAATGTTCTATTTAAAGAATGATTCTATTTAAAACACCATGAGTAAAGAAGCAAACAACTCTCTACGTATCATGTCGATTAAGAGGTAAATATGATTAATCGAGGACAGATATTTTCGTTCTATCCGTGGTAGCGATTGCCCGATTTATTTCGTCAGCCATATGTGGAACGATATCGACTAAAGGTTATTCGCAGCGAATAATATGCCCGAAATATGCTTTGTCACCTAGTTTCACCATATGGACATTTAGCCCAAATTAATTAACGGTTCCATAAATTATGCCGAGCTTTGCACTCTTTACATAAATTCAATAAAGACGTCTGCATTTTTCATTAATAATTCTTTTCAGCACATCCGTTAAATTAAGTTGAAACTCTCATAAAATCACGTCTTCTTCAATGATTTTGCCGACTAAAAGCTCTTAAAGTGCTTTCGAGCAGCTAATTTCGAATTTATCCGACAGATCAAAATAGCATCTAATATGGCAGCATCAGCGCGACTTTGAGAGGCGACTCGAATTCTCCTCCGAAGAATTTCAATTTCGCGAGCATTTTTCTCATCTCCTGTGAGATTTCTTTGATCGTGCGCAAATGACGGCGAATCTTTCGGACGACGAACTTTATTCAGGCCGTGTGGCGAAAAGATCAATCATATTTAGTCTACCAATTATACCCCGAGCTCGTTTTATAGAGAAATTTATAGGCGAGCTTCACACTCGCAAATTGTCTTTCTTGTTAATCTTAATATTCTTGTGAAAAAAAATTTCATCTCCTTGTATAGCGTGAAATGTAATATTTCCACGATGGTCTATGACAGAACTTTTTTATGACAGGCTTTTTCTATACAATGAGAAGCGTACGAGGGAAGAGAATGACAGAAACAAAAAAGAAGGAAAGATATACGCGGAGATGTATTTTGTTTGTGAAAAGATCTTATCCGAGGAAAACTGTCCGGATATCTGATGTTCACTGTGGTTTTTAGCTGATGCATAGATGTATGCAATGCAATCTGAATGCAGCTTTGCTTTCTCTCTCTCTCTCTCTCTCTCTCTCTCTCTCTCTCTCTCTCTCTCTCTCTCTCTCTCTTTCTCTCTCTCTTTCTTGTATACTTCTTAATGTACAATTTCGTTTTATAAATATTCATCGTCTAACCGTCAAATATGATACAGATATCGTTGAATGGGGGAGAGAGAAGCGAATGAAAATACCGCGAAGAAGAAGTGAGGAGGCGTATATATAAGCAAAAACGGGCGCATCTATCTTACTTTAAGACGTCGGCGGAGGCGAGAGCCTTCCTGTGCCAAGTGTCGCATAAAATCCCCAGAGATACTAAAAGTGCATCGCAAGTCGATTTCCTTTTGCAACGAAGTAAAACGAAATTTTAGATTTGATGATAGCAAATCAAAAGAAGTACGAAAACAGGATACGAATTTACGTAGCCGTGAAAGAACTCTTGTATGATTGCAACTCCATTAATCTCAATAATGCGTAAATTACATGAAGACTAAGAAATATAAAATTTTATAAAAATTTATTAAATTAAGAGAGATTTAATATACATTACATTTAAAATTAAAATTGAAATTAAATTATCATCCTGCACATAAATTCCAATAATTGCAATGGCATATCATGGAGGACATGGGAGAAAAAAACATGTACTTAAAAAACGATAATAAAATAAGGCATACCTACTAACGAAAAAAATGTCATACTCGTTTAAAATTCCCGGAATATATGTTTATATGTTTACTTATTATATTTTATTATTAAACAGGTAGAATAAAATTTAAATTTATATTCAACGAATTTCATCCCATCGTCACTATATAAATGCTAATCAGCTGTACGAAACTTTATTTCAAGGATAAGCGTTGTTATATGTATGTGTCTGCAGAAAAAATGATTATATTATATTCTTGGAATATTTTGTGCGTGGAGAGCTGAACTTGAAGGGAGGAAAATTTTGATTGCAGGGGCCCGAACGTGTCGATCCTCCATCTTCGCAACGCGTCGGCGGACCCTTGGGAAGTCGGCTCTCAAGGCTCCTCGTACAGCGTCGGCAGCAACAAGAGTCAGACAGCAGGTAGCAGAGGCAAATCCGGCGGGAACACACGAGGATCTTACAGTCGCGGTAGCTCGATACCATCCTTGAAACGTCACGATACATCCACGTCGACCACGTCGACGTCAAGTCTTAAGCAGCATCGACAAGACAGTCATGGTCAGGTAAGCAGAATCCTATATTAGACATAAATTGGCGTCTCCGTCAGTCTATTTGCGAAATCTGAGATACAGGTCGAGCTCCTGCGAGAGTTTCAGGAGAATAATAACAAAATAGTTTGTCCCGGAGTTAATATTAACTAAAATTGTCGTAATTAGTATTAAAAGTTTAGATGATTCTTTTTATTTTTATTCCGTACCGCTCGAAAAAAGAAGATAATAAATCGTTTAAATTACGATTAACGATAATTAATATTTACGAAAATGGTTTTATATGATTTATCCCATAATTATTTTTGTATTCTACTGAGTACAAAAAGGATAATGAGAAATAATAGTGCCGTATATTTTCTTTCTTTTTCTCCCTTTAATCTTTTTAACATAAATTAAGATATTACTTTTTCAGATTTTAATTTAACTTTACTATAATTGTTACCTGTATCATGTAAATAATATAAGAGTCTGATTATTACCCCCTTCATTTTCTATTTTAGTTCTAAGAAATTTTATTAATGAAGGATCTGGAACAGGCTGAACTATTTACTTTATTTACCCTCCTTAGTATCTAATATTTTTCATAGAGTCCTTCAGTGGATTTAATTATTTTTTCCCTTCATATTGCTAGAGTATATTTTCAATTAATTTTATTTTAACAATTTTAAATATACATAAACATTAATATTTCTCTTAATAAAATCCCCCTCCTAGTTTGATCTATTCTTATTACTGCAATTTTTCTTCTTTCTCTTCCTGTCTTGCAATTACAATAATATTAACTGATTGTAATCTTAATACTTCTTTTTTTGATCCATCTGATGGAGGAGATCCAATTTTATATCAACATTTATTTTGATTTTATGCCATCCTAAAGTTTATATTTTAATTCTTACTGAATTTTGTTTAATTTCTTATATTATTGTAAACGAAAGAGGAAAAAAGAAACCTTTGGAGCTCTAGGAATAATTTATGTAATTATAACTCTTGGATCAGGTTTTGTTTCAGCTCATCATATATTTACTATTGCATTAGATATTGATACACGAGCTCATTTTACTTCTGCAACTATAATTATTGTTATTCCTACAGATATTAAAAAGTAAAAAATCACGTAACGTTAAATTTAAGTACTTAATATAAATTATAATAGCATAATAAATAGAACTATTAATTGTTGAAAAATATATATATAAGAAAAATAATGAGAGAAATTATATTATTTTTCCAAATCAATTTTCTAATATCAATTAGAACGTTATTACTTTATTAGATTCAAACTTTGTTGTTGCATTATTCAAACATTAACGTGATTAAATAAATAAACAAATATGACGTGACAGAATAAAAATTAAAATAATGTTTAGAAAATCCATTAGCGACGAGAATGCTTGTCCATATAGGTATCCTCCAGTGCTCGTCGACGTGAGGCTACGAATTCTTTCCTCTCGGGTAATAGTGGCACTTCCGGCGAGCTGTTCATCAGTGGCGACTGCAGCCGCGAGCTGTCACCTGTCCGATGGTGCGATCGCGAGGTCGATGGCGTTTATCTCGGCCGTTCTGGCTGGGTGCAAGTGCAACAACGGTCTCTCGACGAGAATCGTCGTGCAAACTACGAGAGCAACCTGGTAACCGCTACTACTGGCACTCTACCGTTGTCACGACGCGCGGCCGTCAAGCTAGCGGATTATCACTGCAACAGTGAGCCGGGCAAGTGCCCGCAGGATTTTGCCAGAGGATTAGATTCGCAAAGGCCAGACTTCCTCGCACTGCATAGCCAGGATTTCGATTCCATCACGACCAGCGCCTGCACGTCGCCGCACAGCATCCCAGAATCGTTCTCGCCGCCATCGATCACACCGATTATATCGCCACCGCCGGCTTTCCAAGATGCCGTCACCGGCAGAAAATCATCTTCCTCCAGGCACTCCTCCGGCGGGCGTAACAATTACGGCAGTAAGGCGCCCTTTTTGCCGCGATCGAACGCCATCGTCGATAGCGACATCATCAGTCCGCCTCCGACCCCGCCGCCTCATCAAGTGAACTGGAGTTCCCTACCGTCCGGATCTAGGAAAAATCTCGGTTCGGCAGCTTCCAGATCGAAGAGACAGAATTCCAGCCAGCAGCAACAGCAGCAGCAGCAACAACAGTATCGTATGGCGCAGGCCAAATCTTTGGAGGATCAATCATCCTCCAGAAGATCACAGTTTGCGCAGAGATATCTCGAGTCATCCAGTTCATCGTCGTCGTCGATGGGATTCAGGAGTCTCGACAGCTGTGTCACCAAGTCCATTATGCCCAGCTTAGCAGAGAATACAGATTCTTCAGTTGAAGGGTATGTGAAAAAAATCTAATTGCGATTAATGACTTCGTCGGCTTATTTAATATTAAAAATTAACGATTAAAAATTATTGAAAATGACTGCGTTTTATCTGGGTTAAAAATATTTGATAGATTAGGAGTAATCTCGCAGAATTAAAACCGCACCGCAAATATATACACACATTTATTTTTATTAACCAATAAAATATATATGTGTGAATATATACCTGTGAATTGACGTATGTAAAAGGTAGTAAATTTTTTAGTAAAATTGAAATCTAAAAATGTTCATCGAAAATATATTGATTTTTCAATATTAGATACGAGGATGGTGACGAAGACGAAAACCCCAGTTCATCCTTAAATCTCAGTTTAGTGTCGTCATCAGCTCTTGCATTGAATTCATCCACGGAGTCAATTCGTGCCAACGGCGAACGAATTTCGCCCAACAGACAAGGGTAGGCATATAAAACCTAATGAAATTCAGAAATAAAATTTTAATAAAAAAAATAATAAACATTGTAAAAATCTTATTTAAAAAATTTTTTTTCTACATAATCTTTTTGTTTACACAACAAAAATAATTATTTTAATATCTTTTAATTTTAATTATTTTTTTAATTATTAGTAATTATTATTGTATATGTTATAAAAGAATAAATATTATAGAGGAAAAATATAAATTTAATATTACATAGTGCAAATCTTTCGCGATATTTTATTCGAAAATAAAACGCAGTGTTATATTCAGGAGAATCCATAGAAGTCAACAGGGACTGAGAAGATCGCCAGGATCCTCCGAGTCAGGGAAACAGATGTTCAGTTCATCCTCGTCATCATCTTCCTCCTCATCCACCAGTGAGGAACGACAAGGACGATCACCTACACCTAATCCTTTCAGACGTAATAATGCTTCACGGCAGCTTCAGAGCGCCAGGACCAATCAGATGTCACCCGATTCTCATCAATCCCGGGTCAGAAGATCCAGAAGTCTCCAATTGCCCGAGAAAAGGTCGCCGGGAACGACTGGACCGCAGAGGGATCACTCTCGAGAATCAAACGAGGCTCACAGAGTTGTCGTGAAGATCGTGAATGATCGAGGAAACGAGAGGCCCAAACGCCACGTTCTTCAGAATAGTGAGTACTACGTCTCAAATATTCTATATATCAATTTTCGATGCTGCACATGTGTATTGAATATTTTATATTGGGGGGGATATTGGGGGCATAGATAGAAATGTTTGTAAGCATATTTTACAAAGCTGCTTTCATGAAAGAATAATGATCGTGTTCAAAAAATATCAATGATGAATTATTTCCTGTCTTTTGTAATATCAATTTTATATGTGTATTTTTATCATCTACAAGTATTTTATATTTCAAAAAAGATTTTGTATATAAAATACAAAGCTTTATAAAAAATTAAAAAAATATAATAAATATAGAAAAAGTTTTGAAAAAAATATAAAGGGAATCACATATTCTCTTTTTAAAACACTCAATATAAAAACTAACATAGTGTTAAAGTAGAACATATTCAATATTTGTTATATAAAATTTAATATAAATAAAAAGATTTAACAAGAGGAAAAGTATTTTCGTAAAGAACGCGTATATCAAATCTCAATAATCAAAATGGATTAAATCCATCGATTTCAGTTTTGTATTCGATCATCTTTTCCAAACGTCTAGGAAAGGCTCAGTCTACCGATGACACCATAAACGAAAATCTTCTTCGCGAAACGGAAGTAGTAACCGAATATCTGTATGGCACGAGAAGTCGAGTCGTGCCAAGAAGCAGTTTGTCAAGTCGCTACGAACGTCGCGATGAAAATCAAGAGCAACGGCGAGGCACTCCCAATACCTACGATGTCTACATCATATCTTCCAAGCAGCAGCAACAACAACATCAATCGTCGAAAGTGTTCAACTCTTCGCAGCCGCAGCAGCAGTCACAGCAGTCGCAACAGCAGCAACAACAATCCCGGCGACCGCGAACGCTACAGAGAGGCGCGACGACGCCAAATACGAGCGCACCGTCTGTCAATCAAGATTTCTGCATCAGTTCGGACACAAAGCTACGTTGCAATAGCAGCACGTGTGACTTCTGGCCTCACTGCTCCCAAAGAGAAACTCTGTATTCGCCAAATCAGGCACCACCCCCGGTCTTCATGAAGCTATCGCAGAGTTATCCGGCGCATCAAAGACTTTCCACCGACACCGGCAGCCACCGTGGTAGCGCTAGCTCGTCACCGGCTTCCCTGGAACGGATGGATGATCGAGAGCTGCGCGAAAGAGATAATTTAAGAAAAAGAAACAATCAGCAGGGTAACTCCAAGTATCAAGAGAGATCCAAGGGCGTGCTCAAGCAGACTAACAGATGGTCACCACTGGAGGGAATTAATGGCAATGGTTTGTAACAAATATGTTAAATTATTAAAAATTAGAAAACAAGAAATGGCACTGCATTAAATAATTTCTGCGAAAGTATAAAAACTAATTTTCCTGAAATCAATAAATATTTTATTTTTTATTCGATAAAATACAGTGATTATTTTTGTTTTAATATTTAATAAACAAAAAACAATTTATCACATCAATAACGTTTTTGCTATGAATGAAACAGGTTCCGGAGTGGAGAAGAGGGATCAAATGCATCACCGAGTGTATCGGAAACCCGATTTTCCGGGATCTTTCGAAGGCACCGACAATAAGGACAGGAGGGTATCGCCCATCCAAGGAATGAACGTTGCCACCAAATCGCCGAGCGGTGGTCCTATCGCCTCCTCGTCGACGAATACATCGTCGTCTTCGAGCAGCGATATCTGGATCACCACGTCGGATCGCACGGTGACAAAGAGCCCGCGGAATGCGAAGAGCTCCGGCGCATCTACGCCGATGGAGGATGCCGTGATCGGTTCGCTAAAGACGCTGATAGAGCCGCCGAAGGACGGTACGCTATCCAGGCCCGGAAGCGCGCCGACTCGGGGCGAGGATTCGCTCACGGATGACATCATCCTAGACCCTCATCAACGATCCTTGTCGCTGCCAAAGTCCTTCCTAGCGCACAATACGGCGGACAGGTGAGTATTAGTGACAGTATATTTTTCGCGTATTCCCCATCGACTTGTTCGCGGAGGGAGAAAGAGATAGAAGTTATTGAAATACACCGGTAAATCGTGACAGCTGCATCAGCTGATCGAACGAAACGGCGGAGGCAATTTCGAGGCAGGTGGTCGGCGAATTGATTCGCCTTAAATATTAGTACGCGGCCGCGTTCGTTTAAATCTTGCGGTTAAGTTTACTAGGTTGCTGGGCTACCATGCTGCGCGCGCGGTCGATTGCACTGGTAATTGGCTCTCCTGGATCGAAATCCCGTCGGGTATTCCATTATACGTGCTCTGCATACGCGAGTCGTGCCGGGAATCGGCTTATCCTTGCCAGCACATCCTTGGGATTAGAGTTAAGCCTTGGATGCGAATGTTACGCGATCGCATGCGTTTATTAGCAAGCTTCTTGAAATCGATATAATAGCGTACGCTATAACATTTATTAGATATTTAACATGTATGTGTGTATGGTATTAAAAAAAATGTAATTACAAGTCCGTACTTAATTAACGTATCGATTTTTACAATTAAAATTTAATTTTTTTTTCAATAATCCTCCAATAAAGTACAAAAAATTAAGCATTCTGCAGATATTAGATTTCACATCGGATCTGATATGTCATATATAAACTCACGATTTTCATAAAAAAATTTTAATATGAGGAAATGATTAAATACATATGCATTCGTAGAATAATATTTTTTTAGTAGTGATTTTCATCGGCAAACATTTGCGAATGACACAAAGATATATTCAATTCGATATTAAGTTAGATATATTGAAGTTTAGAAATTTTTATGCGAACCTATCGAAATATAAATCATTAAGTATATTAATAATATAAATTATAAGTATATTAATAATATAAATCATTAAGTATATTAATAATATAAATTATTAAGAAGAGAGATTATGCAAAGCCATCTAAACGAGCAGTATTACAAAACATCGCAGCTGGCGCTATATTAATATACTTGACGTGTTATGATGTGTTTACGTGCTAAAGGACACTCAGGGACGATAGTTCTGCGCGAAGCTGCAAAGCGCTTCGTTATAAAAAGACGTGGCCTCTCATAAACGACACGTGCGAAACTTTCGATTAAACTGTCAAAAGATAAAAGATGCAGCGCGACGCGTCTTTTAACACATAATTATAATTTTAGTGATAAGAGAGCACTTCCTTTCTTGACACGAGTCACTTCCCGCTTGCTAATCACTCGATTATAAGTGACGAAAGCCGGATAGAAACGTAATGGCGCTACTAATAGCGAGATCGCATGTCCGTGACATGCAGATATATCGATGCACCCCGCGGGAGTTAAGATGTTTGATTCTCTCTTGAATGTATCGCCTTCGCGTGTACACGTTAATTCTCTCGCTATTGCCGCCGTCGTGTTTTGCATCATCCTGTTAGCCAAGTTCGTGCAAATGTGCGATAGATAGATCCTATACGCTTGAAATTCACCGCAGCTGGCATTATCTGTTAATTTCCGACTTCGACCATGAATCCGAGTGTCGTGTCGACTCGGAAGGATTAATCGGTACACACGCAATTTCCCCGTGACATAATTCTCTTTGTGATTAGATCACTATAAGAAAGATTCCTCGATTCGTTTTGTCAGACGAGAATATTTTTTCAGATCTTAATCATCTGCCTGATATTCGGCAATATTCAAAAGCTTTGAAAACAGTTTCTGAAACAGTCTGCGGGGTCATTGCAAGAAAGCGGTCGGTGTCGAGAATCTCTGCTATAATGATGCAACATAGTGGTTTCTCAATATCGTCGTAACGAAAATGTCGCATTCACGATAAATCTCCCGAGGACCTTTCTTTGTTTGCTTTTGGAAACGCATGTGTAATGCGACGTAATCGCACGATTGACAAACCGCTTAAGTATGCATGTAATCCGCCCACGCACAGCCCACGTATGATTCGTGCCTTCATCCGCAACACAAGGTGGTAGAAGAAACGATCGCGATTCTCGACTACTGTCAAAAATAATATATAATACGAGGCATATATTTATTTATAATCTTTCGAAGATGATGCGAAAAAATTGAAAAAATTATCAAATAGAGCGAATTAGATATATTAATTCTTTCTTAAAAATTTGCAATTTTGCATGATTTAAAACTTAGATTCGCGAACATTTAATTTTGATACGAGATGGAACGTAAACTGCCGCATTGATCGTCTTTCTCAAAGCTTTCGATGTCCGGTCGGTTTGCGCACTATCAGACTTCCAAACTCGACATTATGCGCTTCGAGTTTCTGACGTCTCTGAACTCGATACTTAATCCGGTAAACGCAAAGTTTCGCGACGCGTAACTCCTTCCTTCTTTTTAAACGTGAGAAGCGAAAACTTTCGATCCGCCAACCTCTCTTGAAACTGCGGAGCTTCCTGCTTTAGCGCCGCAGAAATCGCGCGCCCTGGAGCTCGTTGGTGCGGAATTCGCGTTGGACATCCAAAGGATCGTAAGACTATGTGTTTTCCGCGAGAAGTTTCAAGGAATATCTCGCAAATCAATCGAAATGGAGTGGCTAAAGCCTTGACTTATAACTCTTAGTCTTTATTGAAGGGTTAAATCATTCTGGAAAAGATGACAAACAGATTCTGACTTTTTATTATACTCAAGCTGATTTTAGGAAATATTTTATACTCTTTTATATTATTACATACACAAATACATATACGTATATATATTTAACATTATTCACACATCTAACATGTCATATAACATATTGGAAAATATTAATAATTCGTGATTGATATTGCAATTCGCAGATGACAGATTATTCATTTTGGTTTAAATAGAAATATATCTATCTCTTACTATTTTTATTCATCTCCATAATAATTATGGTGCGTGCTATAAATCATAGTACTCTCCATAAATATCTTCTAATAAAAGCAGCAACCATAAATCGTATAAACTACACTCGTCGGCAAAGGAAGATATCGATCTTTATCTATCAAATCTTCACATCAATACACGATATAACTGACGTTTATTGAATATTTATGGAGTATTATCTATCGCGTAAAAGATAACATATTTCGCTATGCCTTAATAATGTCACCGCTCAATGTATCATACTATCTCTCTCTCTCTCTCTCTTTCTCTTTCTCTGTCGAATCCTCCTCGAGAACATCCTTTAGTTATTTTCATTCGTCTTAGTCGCTTTCAGAGAATCCTCTTGATGAAAAAGCAAGTACCAATCAAATGATTTCACAAGTCATAGATAATGAAGTACTTTTCAAAAAGCGCGATTAAAATTCCCTTTTTTTAAATTTATATAATATATTAATTTACATATAAAAAAATATTAGAGATATTTTACATATTTTAATTAGTATTTTTTTTAATTATTTTATTTTAATTGTAAGTAAAATATTGAATTCTTTTTAATTCAACAATAATAAAAGTTCGAGAGAATTTTCTATATTTCCTTTGTACATTTCCTCTATTTGCTAAATTCATTAGTCATGATAAAATAACAGCAATATCTTGCAGTCGAGTTAATTCTTATTTGCGTCTTTGGCAAATTCCAAAAACAACACCTACGAAAATCTCATACGTAGGCGAAGAAGTCGATGACTTCTCGGTTACAAAGCTCGTGCCATATATTGATGTCGTCCACGCCATGCTCGAAGTATTAATCTTGCAAGGGTCGTAATTTGCGCGACAGGTGGTCGGTCGAATCTCGAAGCATCGACCACCGATTCCGATTAGAGATGAGAATTACCGTTTAATTGTTGGCCGAGGATAAATGCCTCTCTGATAATCGTAATGCCCGCGTATTTCGCAAATTTATACGTCTTCGCATCTCTTCTTTGTAAGATAACATATCGTTTCTTTAAAATTTATCGATACGAATAGCGGCGAGTATTCTAGTGACAGAGAACCATCAATTTAGCAAAATTTATTTCATGCAAGATACTCAAGTTAAATTACTTTTGGGGGTACGACGAATATGTAAAATGTTGAGCGAGATTTTATCACTGGAAAAAGTGGTCTCCGAAGCATGATTGCTAAAAAAAAAGAAGAAATGAATTGATGAACTTTAATTGATTTTTTCAAAGCTAATATAGCTGGACTCGTGCGGCTATGAAATTCATTGTTCCACTTTTTGAATATATGGGTATGCAATCTACGCCAAATGTTATATATGAAACGCAAATTGCAAACTGTCGTATTAAAAGCGCTTGAAATGATGGATTGCGCTCGTGGTTTTCAATATCGCTATTCATATTATATTTGGGACTTCATCGCTCGCATCCCTGCATCCTATTGCCACTAATTTTCTTTGGTCCATTTCATTGATCCTGGACGACCATCGATTTCGCTAACCGACGTGTCCGTTCATACACGTAATTAGGACGGCACTACATTCGATACACTTGAAAGCGCAAACCGCGTGCTTCGTGTCAAAGTCAAGCGGAAAGTACGATTTCTATTCGTCAGTTGGATATTTGCAACTCGATCTTTTGATTAATCAACTACGTGAGATTCACCGTATTTAACGTTACGAAAAGGCGAGCATTAAATTCATAAATATCATTTGCAAGAAAAAAATCTTTTTCTATCATTTTATGAATATTTATCTCGTAATATTAATCGAAAATCTTCCGCATAATCGTCGCAATAATTACATGTTATTATAAATCGATGTTCTCGAAGAGAAAAGCCACTGTAAAATTTAATGACTTGGAACTAAAATTAATTATTTCTTTTTTGTGACTCGAATGAAGCAAATATTAATTTCAAGAGGAAAGCAAATGGTTTTTAGATTAACGGCATTTGTGATTTTTATTTAAATTTCTTAACTCTTTCGTAATCTGTGCATCGATAATCGAATAATCTGCGCATCGATAATCAATATTTAGACGAACATAATCTGTTAGCTCGGAGTTGTATTTTAAGTACGGATTACATGGTCGCATTACGTCTACGATAACAACAATCGGTTT